ATAAAAAGATGACATCACAATTTTCAGATGGCTGTGGGGAATTTCTGCCTTCCAGGGCAATGGCAAGAGTCTATTCATGAGGCCGAACAGGCCCTTCCGAAGGGACCACTTTGGACACTTTTGAACCTCTGACATAAATCACATCAATGTGCGTGATCCTGGGGACAGTCCTGATAGACTGAATTAGCCCGCATGCAAATGTTTCACACTGAGATATTAAATGTGTGATCCAATAATATTCATCTGTAGAATTGTACTCCTCCTTTGGAAAAGAATTACAGGGTAGGGTTCTCTTAAATTCAGATCAATACTATTGGGTTGGTTGGGAAAGTCATGAGGCATTTTTGCAGAGAAAACATAGAAAAGTACATCATGGCGTTCCTGATGACCTAGTACCATTGCCCTGTGTCGTTTGCATTTGAGAAATGTGTGACTTCCAGCCTATATATTTGTTCCTCAGAACTTCAGAAGGTAGGCCTAGACTATGGCAGGACAGGAACAAGACTCAATCTTGTCTTTTAGCTGGACAAAGAACTATAAAAATCTATGAGCCTGTGTTTGGGGTGGGAGCACCTAAATTAAGTTGATTGTTTTTGCCTTGTGTGTTAGAAATGTACCATCGCATGGACCATGGGGGTGACCTTATCCAGGCTGTCACACATTGGAGCTGAAGGAAAGTAGACATTTCATCATCTACTATGCAAAATAGAGGGAAATTCTAGAGAAAAACAGTAATAAATTAAGCAGGCCTTGAATTAAGGATGAAAGAAATTTGGGCTCTGTGGAATTGGTTGGGCTGGGAACCTGAGGCGTAATGATTCTTGGAAATCCCACTGATGCCAATGGCTTGGCAAGAATACTGAGATGAGGGACTCCCACTCTCAACTACTTCTAGAAGCTGTGGTAAATTCGTCTGGGTCAAGAGTCTGTATTTCTCCAAGCACTCAATCAATTCTGGTTAAAGCTAAACCAATCTCCATAGAATTAGGAGCACAAGTGTCCTTGTCCCAAAGTCAGGGTGTTGGGATCAAAGGCACTCATTCATGGAGAGAAATATGTGTGACAAAGACTCTGCTTGTGAGCATCCAGCAGAGGAATACAGGGGAAGAGTGGGAAGAGGACAAAAGGCCATGAAAAAGGCCCAACATAGGACAAGCCAAAAGAGTAAACATTGGCGAGAGGAACCCAAGTAACATCATGAATGAGGACCTGACATGGCACGTGCAGCCTGCCCATGTTGGCGGTCAGCTCAGCACAGATGGGTTCCTAAGTGGCCCAGGCCCTTCAGAAGAACACCTGTGATGGACCATGTATTCCCCCCTACCTCAACATCTAAAGTGTGGGTTTTAATTTCTCCTGGGAGCCATATT